TGAAGATGAACACTGAATGCAGACAGGCAGGGACTGGCTGAGGATGAACAGTGAATGCAGACAGGCAGGGACTGGCTGAGGATGAATAGTGAATGCAGACGGGCAGGGACTGGCTGAGGATGAACAGTGAATGCAGGCCCTGGCCGTGGCATGTGCACAGGGGCCACCACCGGCCGCCCCTGGACTGTGGATGTCCCTGACCTGGAAGATGGTCCTGCAGGTGTGACCCGAGGCCTGCTCTGGGCTCAGGGAGCAATCATGGATCGTTCTGCCCAGTCCTGAGTGAGAACCTTCTTCAAGACCAGATTCTGGGACTCAGCCAGAGAACCAGGGGTTTGGGAGCTGGACAAGTCACAGGGCTTCTCCTTCGACTCTCAGAACAGAGGCTCTGCGGTGCCCTGGGTTCTGTGAGCCCCTGGGACTTCTGATCTGCAAGGCTGAGACACCCGGTGCTGTGCGGCCCAGCACGTGCATCATCCCACAGAGCCAACCCACCCTTTCGGCATCTACCTCCAGTCTGCCTGCAGCCTCCTGGCACGATTTTCTGTGACTGTTACTCCACCCACTACCTTCTTCCCTCCTCATTTCTTGTCTTGGACACCTGCTTATGTCCCTTCCTTTCGTTTCTTTCACCCCCTCTCCACACTGTGTTACAGGAGCCAACGGCACTGGTCAGGTAGTGCGGCACAGCACTGGTGAGGTGTCACCACTCTCCCCAGTTGTGAGCACAGCACAGGCCACTTGACCAAGTCTGCACGACACTGTGACACACATAGCGCGAAGTCCATTAGATTCACAAGCTGCACCTTGGAAATGAATGCACCGCATAACGCCACGCTCCACAGGCCTGCAGCCTGCTGGCGTGGGGTCTGTGACTGTCAGCAAATCCAGTGCTTCCTTCTTGCAGGCTGGCTGAAGACACATCCTTCCTTGTCTTCAACTCTTCTGTTTTCAGCTTGTTGAAATTCAAAGGTTCCATAGTGGCCAAAATACATTACATAGTGTCCAAGCGGAAAAACTCGGCTTCAATGTGCATTCAAATGGGGCTGGGGGCGGGTGACCTCAAAGTCCACAAATGCCGGAAGGGGTGATCAAAAAAGGTGAGGACTGGGGCAGGAAGTAGAGGGCAGAGGGAGAAGACGCAGTCAAATATCCACTGCGTATCACATAAAAGGGAGGAAGCTGCAGGGAGGGCAGCGTTTGGAGAGCTGGGAAAGAACGCTGCGGGGGTGACACTGAGCAAGGGCCCCTGCACCCACAAACGTGTTTGCTGGATGGCAGCACCTCTGAAAACAGCAGGTCCAGGTTCTTTGGGCCCGTGAGGCTGAAGTGTCCTTCAGTGCACAGGTCGATCAAGGAGATGTGGTGCACACATACACCATGGAGCTCTGCTCATCCACCAGGGACAGGGATGCTCAATGCCTTGCAGAGAAGTGGACAGACGTGGGAAACTAGGATGGGTCGAGTGAGTCAGCTGTCTCCCAGGACTCCAGGTCCACCGCTTCACGCACAGCGCGTCTTTCTTTGTCGCTTGAGACTCCGTGTATTTTAACGGGAGGTGCACACTTCTCAGCACAGACGTCCCGGAGCAGACGGCACCACTCTGGGGTAAAGTGTGGATGTGGAAACGCCGCACACCCTCTGGAACTGGAGTTTTCCACAGTGAAATGAAAAAAGAAGTCAGGAACTTCATCTTAGATATATTAAACTTTCAATGGTGCACTGGAAGTGAACAAATCCTGGCACAGAGCATGTACTGACTGTGTATGTATTAGAAGTCATAATCTGCAGACAGTGCCATGCAGTTTGGAGACCCACATTCTCGAGTTCACAGAGGAAGTGGAGGTCAAGGTTTGTGCCTCTTGCCGATGTAGGGCTTTTTCTTCTGGAGGGTCTCCGGGGGCCACGGAGCACGCGTCCCTTTCTGAGCCGAGCCTTGGAAGGCACGCAGGCTGTTTTCTGAGTCCTGGTGAAGACTGCCCACCTTCGGGTAAGACGGGAGCACAGTGGGGCCGGAACACCAAACCCTTGTCAGTTTGGGGCACGCTCCCCCTGGCTCCACCACCCACCAGGGACATTGGTGACTCACTCCTGGACACTGGAGATTTTCCTGACACACGGCTGCCTCCTGGGTCTGAGCAGGAGCGTGGGATCTTTCTCTCCAGCCACGGTCCTCAGCCTCACTTCAGTCTCGCCGCAGGCCTTCCTCAAGGGCAGAGGCCCCGGATGCTCAGACTCCCATCCCTCGCCTGGCCCTCCCTCTTCTTTGGACAAAGGCGACTCTGAGAACCCTGGCCATTGCCCTTTGGGGCAACTTTAATCCTTGGAGATGCCTAGTCAGTGTGTGTCCATCAGAACTCACACTTTCATGGTAAGAAACCTCCGTCCAGTCTGCCCCCACGCCAAGGTTTTGTGACTTAGGACATCTCTGAGGTGTGGGCCCTATAATGCCACTGGGAACTGTGTCCTCTCAGTGGCACACACCAGATGCTGTTGTTCGGTGGACACCTTGCCAAGGGCAGAGTGCCGTCCCCATGGCCAAGTGCCGTGTTGAAAAGAGAGCCACTGCTGTGTCTCCAAGCAGAAGCCCCACCCCCAGACGCACCTCTGCACGCTGGCCTCCAGTGCACTGAGTTCGGAACCGGCAATTCTACACGGCTACACACGGCACACAGGAGTCGGTCCCGGTGGGGGAGGCTGAGCTGGCTTCCCACCAGCACCACGCCCTGCGCCGTGACCTCGTACCTCAGACACGAGGTTGCAGTGAGCAATCCCTGAACAACACCCATCCCAAGGGAGGCCGCAGGGATGAGGGCCAGGGAGGAAGACCGTCCCTCACGTCCCATGAACCTCCAATTGTGATGTCACATCGTGAGCTAGCAGATTGCATGCACGAGGAATAGAAGCAGTGCTGCTGAGCCTTGTCCCGCCCGGCACAGCGCGGGACGGAGCGGTGCACGTGGATGTCTGGCTGACCGATGAATAACCCACACGCCGCACATTAGCTCCCCTGTTTGGAAAACAGAAGTTGCCTCCGTCCCCAGGTTCACCCTCTCCGACTATCTACGCTTGGCCAGGACTGAACGTGGAACTGTGAGAAGGTAAGCCTCTTCTCCGATGCACTGCTTCATGTATTTCCTGTCACCCCTCTTCCCGAGGTGTGCCCCTGAAGGGATGCCACAGCCACGGACGGAACACATCCCTCTCTGTCCACTCAGTGGACACCCGTTTCGCATTTGTGGGTGATTGATTAGCTGCCGTTAAGAGGGAGACGCAGCTCGACACGAGGTGTTTTGCACTCTCCTTTGGACCATTAATCTTGAGAAGCACCATCAAGTGCCTCCGAATATGGCGTATCCAGGTGACTACAAGCCGGCGTCCACTCATTTGCAGGCTGGCGTCCTGTCCCCTGCAGGCCGGCGTCCGTCCTGTCCGCTGCAGGCCGGCGTCCGTCCTGTCCGCTGCAGGCCGGCGTCCGTCCTGTCCCCTGCAGGCCGGCGTCCGTCCTGTCCCCTGCAGGCCGGCGTCCGTCCTGTCCCCTGCAGGCCGGCGTCCTGTCCCCTGCAGGCCGGTGTCCTGTCCCCCGCAAAGGCAGCCAGGTTTCATCGTTTCTAGCATCTGTGGAGTCCCTTTCCTTGTGTTAAGTGCGTGTATGCGTGTGAGTGTGTGTGTGTGTGTGTGTGTGTGTGTACAAACGTGGACTGCTTCTTACCTCTCCTGCAACAGTGTCTGCCACGTGCTGAGCAATCCAAGTGGGAAAGGCCTTGCTTGTCAGGGGCTCAGCTGAGTAATGCTCACTCCCAACATGAGTTTTCTGAGTAACGGGTCAATGGGTTCCGGCGGCCATGTTTCCAAGGGTGTGCAATGACAAGTACGGGCTGTCCACTCACCCCCGTCCTCCGCACTTCCAGGAAAGTGGCTCTTTGGAATGACTTCTCCCACACGGCCAGCTCACAGCCCAGCTCCACCCCGAAGACGTGGCTCTTCCCGTGGCCAGCGAGAATGCTGAAGCAGTACCGCTGCTGGTCCTCAACGTCGAATTCTTGGAGACCCAGATATAAGTTGGCCTGTAGCCAGTAGTTGTCTGTAAGCCAGAACTGGAAAACAGCATGGATTGAAAGTGGGTTAGAGCTGGAAGCAGAGTCTGGCTGGAGGGAAAGAAGATGGAAGGAGGGAGGCAGGCACTGGGGGGAGAGGTCATCCGGCCACACTTTACAGGCTTTACCTGGGGTGGGCGGGGCTCCAGGACAGACACCATACATACAGCACACACATGCCTCGGCTCCCACTATTCCCAGGTGACCTTCCCTCAAAATAATGGTAACCAAACCACTTCTTCTCCAGGTGTAGTGTTAAAGAAGGAGGAAAGGCTGTTGTGCTGATGACCGGCATAAACAACTACACTGCAGACAGTGCTCACTTGAGCGTGTACCTCTGCCTGGTCCCTAGGAAGGCCTGGCTCCCTATCACGCAAAGAAGAAACGCTCAGCCTGTCCCCCAGCACTGACGATCCCCCTCCTCCCCATGCTCTGCCTGTCCCCCAGCACTGATGATCCCCCTCCTCCCCATGCTCATCCTGTGCTCCAGCACTGACGATCCCCCTCCTCCCCATGCTCAGCCTGTCCCCTAGCACTGACGATCCCCCTCCTCCCCATGCTCAGCCTGTGCCCCAGCACTGACGATCCCCTCCTCCCCATGCTCAGCCTGTGCTCCAGCACTGAAGATCCCCTCCTCCCCATCCTCAGCCTGTGCCCCAGCACTGACGATCCCCCTCCTCCCCATGCTCAGCCTGTGCTCCAGCACTGAAGATCCCCCTCCTCCCCATGCTCAGCCTGTCCCCCAGCACTGACGATCCCCCTCCTCCCCATGCTCAGCCTGTCCCCCAGCACTGAAGATCCCCTCCTCCCCATCCTCAGCCTGTGCCCCAGCACTGACGATCCCCCTCCTCCCCATGCTCAGTCTGCCCCCAGCACTGAACTTTCCATGTCCTCCGTGGTCTACTTATAACACAAGATCCTAAACAAAAAGAACAAATGTTTTAGAAATAGTCTCCAAAATAAAGAAAGATCTATATCGTGTGCACTGCATTGCCAGGATCACAGATTCACCTCACTGTCCTATGACTTCTGACCCCTGAGCATAGAGCCATCTTCTCACCACGCCGCCTCCTGAGCCTTCACACCCCTGAGCATGGAGCCATCTTCTCACCACGCCGCCTCCTGAGCCTTCACACCCCTGAGCACGGAGCCATCTTCTCACCACGCCGCCTCCTGAGCCTTCACACCCCTCAGCACGGAGCCATCTTCTCACCACGCCGCCTCCTGAGCCTTCACACCCCTGAGCACGGAGCCATCTTCTCACCACGCCGCCTCCTGAGCCTTCACACCCCTCAGCACGGAGCCATCTTCTCACCACGCCGCCTCCTGAGCCTTCACACTCCTGAGCACGGAGCCATCTTCTCACCACGCTGCCTCCTGAGCCTTCACACTCCTGAGCACGGAGCCATCTTCTCACCATGCCGCCTCCTAGGCCTTCACACCCCTGAGCACGGAGCCATCTTCTCACCACGCTGCCTCCTAGGCCTTCACACCCCTGAGCATGGAGCCATCTTCTCACCACACCTCCTCCTAGGCCTTCACACCCCTGAGCCCGGAGCCATCTTCTCACCACGCCGCCTCCTGAGCCTTCACACTCCTGAGCACGGAGCCATCTTCTCACCACGCCGCCTCCTAGGCCTTCACACCCCTGAGCACGGAGCCATCTTCTCACCACGCCACCTCCTGAGCCTTCACACCCCTGAGCACGGAGCCATCTTCTCACCACGCCGCCTCCTGAGCCTTCACACCCCTGAGCACGGAGCCATCTTCTCACAAGGCGGATCTTAGGCCTTCACACCCTGAGCACGGAGCCATCTTCTCACCACGCCGCCTCCTGAGCCTTCACACCCCTGAGCACGGAGCCATCTTCTCACCACGCCGCCTCCTGAGCCTTCACACCCCTGGGCACGGAGCCATCTTCTCACCACGCTGCCTCCTGAGCCTTCACACCCCTGGAGCATGGAGCCATGTCCTCACCATGTGTCCACCTGGGTCTTCACACTTGGGGAGCTGGAGCTTTCTTCACGCCATGCTTCCTCCTGGGTTTTCACACCTGTGAAGCATGGAGTGTGTTCTCACCATGCCTTCTCTCTTGGTCCTCACACCTGTGGAGCACGGAGCCATGTCCTCACCACATTCCCTCCCGGGGTCTTCACACTCACAGAGCGTGAAGCTGCGTTCTCACCAGGCCATTTCCTGGTCTTTCTCAGCGTGCCTTCTTCCTGAGTTTTTACACACACTTCCTGCCCAACTTCAGATTTTTCTCTCAGGGTAAGACACAGGGCCTGCATGCCCTCAGCTGTCACCAACGTCAGATCAGCAGTACGGCGGAAGGTGACATGTCCAGGTGGGGTGTTCTTCTCGCTTCTGCTGTGTCTCTCTGCCTCTATCTCTGTGTTTCTTTCTGTCCTCTGCCTTTCTGTCTGTCTGTCTATCTCCATCTCTCATTCACAAATATCCAGACCGATGGACAGTGACAGAAAGGTGGGCCGGCTGCCCACATGCGGGGGCCACGGCCCACTGCTGTCCCCTCCAGACACACCTTCATACACAGGCTCAAAGGAGCCTCCCAGAGGGTGGCTGGTAAATGACTTCATCTGAAGTCTGCTCACACAGGCCTTGGAGGCACCGCTCTGGCGTGACCCCTGACGCATGTGACACTGTGTAGGGGACACAGATGCCCCACGCCGGGGTGCTGAAGCTGCAGGAGGCTCCCGAGACCCCGTGAGTGTCTTCTGCGGCTGCGGCCTGGTGATCACAACCTTAATCTCGTGAATCATGCAGAAGCTTGCTCCTTTCTGGTGTGAGTGCATGAATTGGAAATGTATGTGCGTGTGTTACTAATCTTAAGTCAACTTTAACTTTGGAGCCCCTGAGATCCTTCAAGCCAGAAAATGATACCATGAAACTATTCAGTAAGAGGATTAAATCTCATAAACTAAGAATAAAGTATTAGTCATTGGCCTTGCTTTGCAGAAAAATTTGAATTTATTGAGTTTAAATGTCAAAGACAGATAATGAGGGAAGAGCTCTCATGGGCATTTATCAGGCCAGGCACTCTGAGCGGCAGACCATTTTCTTTCTTATCACTAGTTGTCGTTGGAAAGTGATACGTTCACACATAAGTATATAAATATATTAAAGAGGCTGGACAAAAAAGATTTGAGAGCCTTCTTTGCTACCTGTAGCTGCATAACCTTGAGCAATTTACTTCTAAGCCTCAACTCTTAAAACTATGAAACGGAGCCAAAATCAAATGAATGCACGGCTTTAAATGACAGCTTGGCAGGGAAGCCACCCTCAGCTCGCAGAAGCTCAATTATCTTCTTCCACAGGGATCACGCTGTCTTTATACGGCTGTCCTGAGCCATTTGGGTGAGAACTGATGCTTATTCTCAGATCACCAGATTCCTGGCAATGCAGCTACAAAATGATCCTGTGCAGTTGCTCACGATGCCCAGCTAGGGACTCCTAACTTTTGGTTGATGGCTGTTTGCAATCAAATTCTCAGCTAAGTCCTGCACTTAAACTTTATGTACGTAATAGCCTCCTCGGATTTTATTTTCTCCCATAAAAAGGAGGAAAAGAGGTTCGTTCATCGTTGCACTGCTCTGCTATCAGGGACCGGTGGTGTCTAGCTGCCAGGCAGACCCACCTCTCACGGAGGCAGAGGTCGGGGAGCTGAGCTGGGGTGCGATCCCGCCTCAGGGGACTGCACAGAAGCGGCTGGAGAAGTGGAACCCTTGTCTAAACATCTGTCCATCCTGTCCTGAGAAAGACAGGCAGCCAGCTCTGATCAGCGTCGGAGACAAGCCAGGCGGGCCCAAAGGCCAGCTAGAAGCTTCCATTCATCCTGGTACGTGCTTCCATGGAACCTTCCCAGAGGTTCTAGGGATCTGAACCTCTACGGAGTGCAGCCGCCGCGGGGAGGCCATGGGGCTGGAAACGGCAGGGCACGGAGGCTGGCCTGCTCACATCCCAACAGCATGTGCTGGGTGCTGGACACAGAGGTGCAGGACTTAGCATCTGCCCTGTGAGACTTTGGTCTAGGGCTTCCTTGGTGCTCTTGCGATTCCTCCTCCCTGTGACAGTAACGGTTGCTCGGTGACATGGAGGGCTGGATGCTAGAGCTTGCTTTTGGAGTTTTCCGTGAATTGGGCTTTGGCTTTGGAACACTGTGGGGTCTCGGGAGATGAACGGGTTGCGTTCTGCGTCGTGGAGCATGCCTGTCTTTCCTGGGGAGGGGTAAAGCTCCAGCACACAAGCAGCACAGTTCACCCAGTGCTAAGGAGAGGCCGTCACCTTCCACACACTTCCAGCCATGGCGCCACTTCACACTCTTTGTTCAGTTTATGGCTGTGAACATGTCTCTACAAACCTGGAGGCCTGCTAGCTCTCTCAGGAGCATGCACTCAGCACAATGTGCTCTGCGCTCCCAACGGCTGTCTGTGCACCTGTGTGCGCGTGGGGCTGCCGGCCTCACCTGCGGTCTGTGCCCTGCCCGCACACACCGGGTGCGGCTCATCCTCTCTTGGGCAGCCCTGGCATTCCTCCTACCAAAGCTCTGCCACACAGTGAAGCACACAGGCAGAGTGCCTGTTAGGAGCAGCAGAGTCTGAGATCCTAGCAGGGGGAGTCTTCTCTGCAACCGTGCCCTCAGAGCGGGCTGTCCTGAAAGCTCTCAACCACCCTGTGTAAAACTTTGCCCCTCACTGCTCAGTGAGTCTGTCCCTCTGACAGGGGTCAGAGTGCTTTAACAATTACCTTTGTCAGTCCAGTTAAGGCTTACACAAGAAAGGATTTAAGGCAGATTTGTACTTGTGCTTGGAAATATCTCCAATAGCAGCAGCCACAATAAAGATACCAATAACCACACCAAAATAAAAATTCCCCCAAAATGTCACATGAATCAGAAACACTAAAACACAAGTCCTTCAAAAGTACACTTGCACACACATTCACACAATCTAGCTGCCTGTGACACACACATGCAGGTTCGCCTGTCTGTGACACACACACACACACACGCACGCACACACACACACACGCACACACGCACGCTCACCTGCCACAGTGACACAGAGGAACACCTCCATGCGTCCCCCAGTGAACACCAGCACAGCAGCCTTCTTGACTCGCACAGCAGGACGCATGCAGGAAAGGTTCTATTATTTTACTATTTCAGCTGACCCCAGTGACCAAGCCCTCTCGCTCTGGCACCCAAGGTGTCTCAGTGTCCAAGGCACCCACCTTGTGAACTTTGAAGAGCACCTCACAGAGGCTGTAGACTCTTTCTGCTCGTGCCCAGTCCAGTGTGCTCACCTGCAAGAAACACAAAACAGACGGGTGGCGGGAGGCAGGGAACACCAGCCTGAGATCACACGTGTCTTACACAAGGATGACACCACTGTGGGACACTGTGGGGCCTTCAGACCACCACATTCATGGTAGGTGTCCACGGGCACCGGCGTAACAGCTCCACATGGCCATGAATGTGTGTGCACTGTTGGCATGCGGCTGTGTGTGTCACCAGACAAGAAGGCAAGCTGGAACTGACCTGTTTCACGGTCAGGTGTAATAGTAGGAGTCATTTTAGACCCTCCCTAGGTTAAGGATCAATTACAGACTAAGTGCAGAGAATTTAAGATGCACTTTCTGTGAAAGGGGTTGATTGTATGTGCGGGTTGGGGCAGTGGAGAGAAATGCTGTGTGGCAGCCACTGGCCTTTAGGACTAAATTTACTGTTCAATTCTGTTTCAGAAATGAGTGAAATACTTATCAACTAACTAATTATTTGGATTGAAAATCCAAAATCTGTTGGATTAATATTTACAGTTAATATTTCATAATTAATCCTGACTTATTACAGTCCACCACAATGATGATGAAAACCCTCTAATTTTAAATGACACGCTATGGCTTACAATTCTACATTCACAAAGAGAACCTCTAAGCTAAAATAGTCCATGCAGAAATATCTATAGTATTCAACAATGTAATAAATTTTAATTTTATTCTCAATCTTACACCTTTTTTCCAACCAGTATAATTAATCCAGTTTACCCTATCATGTCTTTAAACCATGATCTCATCATGTGGCCGTCAATTGGTGGCTCCTCACCAGCAGCCCAACATAGACTAGCCCAAGGCAGATAACATAAAAAGTTAAAGAAAATAAAATTAAGGGCATAAAGAAAAATCAAAACGAGCTCAGAGCCAGGTGCTAAGAATGAGCCATTTATTAATAAGTTACCTGAAAGGTCTCACTCACAGCTGGCTACAGTAGCTAGCCATGATTCCAGCCTTGTGCTCAGAGCTCCAGGTACACACATCTCCAGTAAATAGCCAAGAAAAACATCAGGTAAAACTCATCCTTGGACTGAGAGACCTTAAGACACAACAAATGAGGCTGCACCTGCAGAGGACATAGCCAACAAGCCAAACAGACAGCACACAGGACAGGAGACTTGTCAGCTACACATCAAAGTCCAAGTATCCAGAATATACAGATCACTTAAAAATTTAAACCCTCACCAGGCAATGGTGGCTCACCCTGTCATCCTAGCTACTCAGGAGGCTAAGATCTGAGGATCCTGTTCAAAGCCAGCCCAGGCAGGAAAGTTCATGAGATTCTTATCTCCAATAAACCACCAGAAAACTGGAAGTGGTGCTGTGGCTCAAGTCGTAGAGAACTTAATTTTGAGCTAGAGAGTCTTCTCAGAAGAAGTAAAAGTAGCCAATAGATACATAGAGAAATGCTTAACATCTCTGGCCATAAAGGAAATACAAACCAAAACAAGACCAAGATTCCACCTCATACCATGCAGAATGTTCATTATCAAGAACACAAATACTGGTGAGGATATGGCTGAAAGGGAATGCTACTACATTGTTGGTGGAAATGTAAGCTTGTTCAGCCACTCTGGAAAGCAGTGTGGATGTTCCTCAAAAGATTAAACATAGAACTACCCTATGATCCAGCAATTACTTCTGGGCATTTATCCAAAAGACCACAAACCAGTCCACACTAAAGCCACCAGCACAACCATGTTCACTGCAGCACTATTAATCACAGCCAAGGTATGGAATCAGACCAGATGCCCCTCAATGGACAGTTAGATCAAGAAAATATACTGTATATACGCAATGGAATTTTACTCATCCAATATAGAATATTGTTCCATTTGTAAAGAAATGGAAAGACCTGCAAATAATTATGTTAAGTGATGAAAGTTAGGCCCAGAAACAAAGGATGTATGCTTTTCCTTATATGAAGCTAGATTTGTATTATAAATGTACAAGCAAATACAATGGGTGGTATGTAAGTATATGCAAATGCATTACCTTAAATGTAGCAAATTCAAGAGAGAACTTAAATAGTGAAATTCCATGGAAAGGCAAAATAAAAATTCAGGAAAGTAAAATATTAGAAACGGGGTACTTGAAAGGGGTGGGGTGACGCCACTTCCAGTCTTCTAGTGCTTTATTGGAGATAAAAGTCTCATGGACTTAATTGCCTGGGCTGGCTTTGAACCGCGATCCTCAGATCTCAGCCTCCTGAGTAGCTAGGATGACAGGCGTGAGCCACCAGCACCTGGCCACTTTTGTTTAAGAAACAACTGCCATTTCTACCCTAGAATCGTATAAATTTTCTCCAACATGGGAGCTGGTGAGTGAGCCTCACCGGGCCCCCACGCCGAATCCCTGGCGCTGAGATGTCCAGTTGGGGCTGAGGGCCTGCTGGATGGGGCACACGAGGCTTTCTCCCCTCCCCTCCCCTCTCCCCTCGCCAGCTCCCCCCCCCCCACGCTGTGACCTGCAGGAAGTTCTGAAGCATTCAGAGTTAGTCTGTCTTATCGCCTTCTCTTGGAATGTGCTCTGTGTTTGGTTGAAAGTTTAAACCCCAAAATGCTTTTGAGATTTGCTGTCTCCCCCCCCTGCCCTCTATGTTCGCTCTAGAGAAGATTTTCCGACATGCCCCAGCACAGAGGAGGAAAGCCGCAGAGCTTCTCTATCTCCGATGCCTGTAAGTCACTCGCTCCATAATACGCAGGAAACTTCCCCTCACTCCAGGGTTATTCTAGATTTGGAAAGAGCAGGGTAGATACAAGGTCAAGAAACCTTCCAGCTCACTGGAGAAGAAACACATGGCACTTGAGAGACTTCCATGCGAACCACCTGCTTTACGGTCAGGGTGGCATCTGCTTCACGTTCGCCACACAGGAGCCACCGGGTGAGGGCCGGAACCCCACCAGAAGTCCCACAACCACATGGAGATTCCAGGAGTGCGCAGACAAAGCCAATCACAGGACTCTAACCTTGAGACTAGTTACCCACCCTTCTGCCCTCCCCTTTCCCTGTCTTCCTGTGAGCTCTGGTGTTGATTGGCCCAGGACGAAGGAGGAGCTGCAGGCCTCGGAAGCAGATGCCTCCGTCAGTACTTGTCCTGCTCTAGCCAGACACGTGGCGGTGCCACGCGGCTGAGCTGTGCGAACCTGAGACACGGCTCCTACGCTACTAAAAACCTTTCTAAAAACAGTTCTTCCCTGAAGTGCTCTGTCAGGCAACACAATAGAAATTACATTTAGGAAAAATGCTAGGAGCATTAGTGTATTTATTCAGTCCACACTTATACAAGTATGAGTGTAGGTAACTCTAATGTGGGCAAACGCACAACATTGGTCTGTGGCTTGTAAATAAGAAGCGGAACTCACAGCTAGACTCAGGGTGGTGTCCTCTATCTGGTCTTGGGGGAGAAAAAGTGTGTTGGGGCAGAGGGCAGTCTGAGGCGGATGCAGGCTGTGGGTGGCAGTCACCGCCGGTCAGTCACCTTTCCTGTCATCAGTGGCCCTGTGAGCTGGGAACATCAGGGGAAGGGGGGAATGGTGCAAATTCTGCACTCATAAAAGAACGCCAAGTTACTTGTTTATCAATGAAGAGAAAACACATACGTTACGGTCCTCGTGTCTACAGGTGGCACTTCGTGTCACGTTGTTTGATTTTAGTGGTCATGCAGTGTGGCGTGGGTCTAGATTCGTTAGCTACCTGAGCTTTCAAGTTTTACTGTCTGTTTGCAGCTCTGGTGGTGTTCAGACTCACAAAGAAGTGAAAATGACGTAAAGAACTAAGCTTTCCCAGAATCCCCACGTTGTGTCTGCCAGTTTGGGAAGCAGCCCCTGTGCGGGAGTTGGAAAGTGAAACAAAAGAACTTGTGTTTAGTCCCACATTTCTGTTCCAGCCCCACTGAAGTGGCATATTTATTGTAAAGATGTCTGGAAGATATGAGGGGAATAACTTTAAATTTCATGATCGGCCACTGCATTCTGAGGAAAAGGCTGTTTTGGTTTGGTTGCGTTTTGGATTCTCCGACCAGGGAATGGATGCAGTAAGCCCACAACCTTGAGCACTCTACCTCCAAACCAATGCAGAGACATGCTACAATATCTAGTTGACACGTGAACTGAAAGCTGGGAATGGAATTCGTCAGGAACCTCTGTGAACCCCAGGCTGGGTCCTGCCAGCCACAGATGTCTGGCGAGGGCGGCCGCAGCCTCCTCTCTGCCCTCCTCAGACCTGGGTCCAACGGCCTCGTCTCTGAACAGCCCTGGGAGTCACTGGAAGGTGTCCTTACCGGAGGAGTATGGAAAATGTAGACGGAGGAGCCCTTCAGCGCCAGGAACTTGGAGGAGAATGACAGAGCGGCGTCTTCTCCCTGGAGCCTCTCGCTCACCCACCCCATGTGCACGACCTGCAGGGGGAAACCTCTGAAAATTAAAAGCCAGCCTTAAGGAGGGCACGCCAGGGGACAGTGGTCTAACCACAAGCCAGGAGCAGTAACCTGAGACCAGACCCGATCCGGACAGACCATGGGAACAGCCGTGCTGTTTGAGAACACAATGTACGAGTTCAAAACATACCAAGAACAACGATTCTCACCAGACCTAAACTCTGAATGTGACATGCATGTGTATACTAAACAACAGTGGCCATCTCGTATCTCATCATTACACAATTTCAAGGAAGCCATTCATGTAACGTATCCTCATTCAAGAAACTTTAGTCAAGGCCGGCGCCCAACCCCATTAGTAAGAGCCCTGTTCAGCTTCAGGGCAGCACTGGCACGGGCCGGGTCCTCAGGCATGAGCAGCGGCTCCTGCCTGTGCAGAGCCCCAGCTGCGCTGGGAGCTCATGGCTACGGCCAAGTGGAGGCAGCATCTGCTTCAGGCCTCTCTGCATGGCCTGGCCGACTCCCTCTGGTGCACGGTGAAAAACTCCCCGAGAGGTGAAGAATTCAGAGGGGCTGAAAATGCCACCTCTTCCAGGAGATGATGTCGCCATGGTGCACCATCTGCCTCATGCAAAGTTTCCATCTTGTTTCATCCGACTCTCCTGGACAGGCAAAGCTTTTCTGAAGTTCCTTTGAGTAAATTTATAGTACCAAGGAGTTCCTCGGGTGCTCGCGGTACACCTTGAGCAGGTTCAGCCCCTCCATACCAGTCCTCTGCCCTCCACTGTGAGACAGGGCTGGGCAGGGATCATCTACATGTACATACTACACACCGTGGGTGTCAGCCTCCAGGACCATCTCCTTTCCCACACTCATGCTGGTCCCCATCCATTCCTGTTTCACATTCCAGTCCCATCATCCCCACCATCCCCATCATCTCCATCATCCCCACCATCCCCACCATCCCCATCATCCCTACCATCTCCATCATCCCTACCATCCCCATCATCTCCATCATCCCTACCATCTCCATCATCCCTACCATCCCCATCATCTCCATCATCCCCATCATCACCATCATCCCTACCATCTCCATCATCCCCACCATCACCATCATCCCTACCATCTCCATCATCCCTACCATCCCCATCATCTCCATCATCCCCATCATCCCCACCATCCCCATCATCTCCATCATCCCCACCATCACCATCATCCCTACCATCTCCATCATCTCCATCATCCCCACCATCCCCACCATCTCCATCATCCCCATCATCCCCACCATCTCCATCATCCCTACCATCTCCATCATCCCCATCATCCCCACCATCTCCATCATCCCTACCATCTCCATCATCCCTACCATCCCCATCATCTACATCATCACCACCCTCTCCACCATCACCATCATCTCCACCATTCCCACCATCCCCATCATCCCTACCATCACCATCATCCCTACCATCTCCATCATCCCCATCATCCCTACCATCTCCACCATCCCCATCATCTCCACCATCACCATCATCTCCACCATCCCCACCATCACCATCATCCCTACCATCACCATCATCCCTACCATCTCTATCATCCCCATCATCCCCACCATCCCCATCATCTCCATCATTCCCACCATCTCCATCATCCCCATCATCTCCATCATCCCCACCATCTCCACCATCCCCATCATCCCCACCATCTCCATCATCCCCACCATCCCTACCATCTCCATCATCTCCACCATCACCATCATCTCCATCATCCCCATCATCTCCATCATCCCTACCATCTCCATCATCCCCACCATCTCCATCATCCCTACCATCCCCATCATCTGCATCATCACTACCCTCTCCACCATCACCATCATCTCCATCATCCCCATCATCCCCACCATCACCATCATCCCCATCATCTCCATCATCCCCACCATCCCCATAATCTCCATCATCCCCATAATCTCCACCATCCCCATCATCTCCATCATCCCCACCATCACCATCATCCTCACCATCACCATCATCTCCATCATCCCCACCATCTCCATCATCTCCATTATCACCACCATCTTATATTCCTCAGTGAAAACATATTTTGGTTTTTTAGTTCTTTTAAGATTGGCTTATATCAGTCAAGGTGATTTCCAGTTCCATCTAATTCCCTACAAATGATCTAATTTTGTTTTTCTTTATGGCTGAATAGCACATTATTGTGTGTACCAAATTTTCTTTATTCATTCACGGGCTGTTAGGCCCCTTGGCTCATTGCACAGCTGGTGAACAGAGCTAGGACAGACATGGCACATAGGTGTCTCTCTGGCGTGCTGATTTCTACCCTTCAGATTACATCAAAAGCTGGTGTGGCTGGGGCTTCTGCAGGTCTGTTTTGCAACGTGCAGGGTCTCCATGCTGATCTCCACAATAGCTTCAATAGGTGCATAAGCACCAACAGTGCACAGCTGTCCGTCTGTCCCCAACATCCTCAGCAGCATTTGAACATGATGATGGTCATGAGGTAGGTTGGATTCACAATGCATTATCTTTTGCACCAGTCCTGGGGTTTGAATTCAGGGCCTGGGTGGTGTCCCTGAGCTTTTTGCTCAAGGCTACTGCTCCTCAACTTGAGCCACAGCTCCACTTCTGGCTTATTGGTGATTAATGGGAGATAAGAATGTCACAGACTTTTCCTGCTTGGGCTGCCTTTGAACTTGGATCCTCAGACCTTAGTCCCCAAGTTGCTGGGATTACCGGCATGAGCCACCAGTGCCCAGTACCATACCATTTGATTTGCATTTCCTTTTGGGTTAAAGATGCTGAACATTTCTTAATGTACTTCTTTGCCATTTGTACTTCTTTAGGGAACTCTGTTCAGTTTGTTTGCCCATTTATCAACTGGACTTCTTTTGTTGTTCATTTATTTAGCTCTTTCTATAATATAGAAATTAATCCTCTATCTGTTGGAAAGATTTTCTTTACTGTTCTAAAAATTGTCATAGTAATTACTATTCTGTAGAATGTCTAATAATTGTTTTCTTTGATGTAAAAATGTGTAATTTGATGAAATCCAACTTGTCAATTCTTACTTTTATTTCCTGGGCAATTGCATCCTATTCAGAAAATATCTGCACTAGCTGGCATCTGCAGGTATTTTCTTCATGCTTCCTGTGATAGTTTTGAAGTTTACGATGTTGCTTCAGCTCCTTTGTCACAAATCAGATTGCTGTAGCTGTGTCAGTTTATCCTGAGTTTTCTATTCTATTTCCTTGGTCTTCATGTCATTGTCACGCCGCTTTGTTAACAGGGCTCAGAAAAGAAATACAGATTTTTACATGACTCAAATATTTCATGTCTCATGAGTTTGTATTTTTTCTATGTATATACTTGCATCCAAGAAGATAACATTTGTTATCAATGTGACAAGATGGCGACATTACAATAATACATTTTATTTTGGATGTGACCTTGGACACATATGGCATAACTAGAACCTTTCCCCCCAATAAACAGAACTTGAATCATTTATCTCACACGATAATGATGAGAATTTAATGCGTGTTGTTGAACAATCTCCTCTTAAATATATCAGCCAGGAGGGGCAAAGTATGTGTTGTTCAGATAGCATCAATGTTCTGAACAGCCACTAAAATATAATCCATGCCTTGAATGTCTCTGGCTTTGAAATCCAATTCACACGTTGCTTACACATATCTAATAACAGACTTGCCCTTTCTGAAAGTTCTGAGGAATATAGTGGCAGAAACGCTGCTTAAACTTGTAAGATGTGCTCGATTTTCACTGTTAAAATGGGGCACTTTCCTGAGCTAGCAGATATTTGATGTGTTTAAAACTTACATGAGTTAAATGCATGATCACTGCACTACTACATGGTGATAATGATTTATATAGTTTATTTTATAGGATTCATTTTAGGCAGGGGATATAGAATAACTGAATTACATACGCTGATTTTTACAGAATAATGAAAAAACCACTGTTTATGTAGCAATGTGTTCAGCAGAGCCACGTTTCCAGAATATCTGGGTGTGTCCTAAGGTGTTCAGAGTTCCCCTCAGCAATTGTATGTTAACACAAGGTCCACTGCTACAGCTCCTAAGGGCACTGAGTCTGGTGAGGATTCACGCCACACTCAGGGTCTGAGCCTCGTCTGTGGCGTGGTGAGCAGGGCTGAGCTGAAGACCTTCTGCTCCTGATTTCCTCATATTGTTATCTGAAAATGTAGGAGCATAAACTGTCCATTTCTCCCCATGGCTGGTTAGTGTCCAAACTTCCCTTCAAGTCAAACCTCAATGATCTACTTCCTGCAAGCAGCCCCACAGCCTAACGTCCAGACCACCTCCCAGATGTCCACTAGCCAGGGAGCAAGTGCGGAAGGCAGGAGGCATGAAGGAACTAGAAACAGTGCAGATCTGACCACAACAGCTAAGCCTCCTGACCTCCTCTTCCCTTCATGAAATGCTCAGCCATTACTGTCACTGAGAGTTCACTAGGAAAAATAATCAACTATGGTAGTCCCACTAGGGGCTGAGGGCAGAGCTATGCATTTCATAAACACAAAATGACTATGGACAGGTGAAAGAGAGAGAGAAAGGGAAGGACAGTGCAGAGGGGCTGAGGGTGAGCACAGGAAGGACAGTGTGGGGGATGGAGGAGCACAGGAAGGACAGTGTGGGG